GTATCTAAATCAAAGATTATAGAGGAAGTAAAGTGGATTAAAAGTTATGAAAAGAAAAGGTCATGAAAAAGATGTTAGAGCGAGAGCGTTGAATGAAAAGCAGCGAATATCGTTTTATGTACAAACGCACACCAACACACATATACGAAATTTAATAATGTAATAGAAGTAATGAAATTTGTTTAGATGGTTGAGAAAGAAAAGTTTGCATTTGTCGAAGTGTATTAAATTTTTTTTTATAAAAAATGGAAAGTATTTAAAAAAATTAATGTAATTATAGTATTATTTCTACAAAAATAAAAGACGTCAAAGAAATATATGCAACATTACTACGCAAATATTTATACTGATTGGAGATTAGGAACGAGAAAAAGAAGAATTAGACAAGGAAAATAAAAAGAGAAAAAGTAGGAAGCAAACGAAAAATTGCAAAAACACGTAGTCGGTAAATTCTCTTTCTCCGTCTGTTAATTGGCTTAATAGAGTCTATAATTTAGACGAAAAGAAAATAACGAACCAATATACAAGAAAAATATCCGTTACGTGATTCAATTTAAAACATGAGCGATCGATAGAGGAATGATATCTCTCGTTTCTCACATGTATACATCATGCATACTTTTCTAACTTACGATCCATTGAAAAATAAAATTTTCCAAACTTTTAATTCTTTAACAAAGTCTTAGAATCAATTTTCTTCTCAGCGAAATTGTCGAGGGAGGTTATTTTCCGCAACTTCTCAATTTTCAACATAAAGTTTATGCGAAGAAGGCACCGTTGAAAGAACGAAAAGTTTATGCTGAAATAAAGTCACGCTAAAATTAATCCAAACAGCAAAGTTCCACTATTTAGTATTTACATTCTTGAAACATGCCTTACGAAGAACGTTTTATTTTTAATGTAAAATAATCCTTAGATATTTTGGTACTTCTAGAAATTCTCGTTAAGAGAAGAGCTTAACTTTTTCGAGAAAGAAAAAAAAATACTCGCAAAATATTTATCTCTACCTCAGATGTAGTTTGTGCATAGAATATATTTACAAGTTTTCTTTATCTATCTTATTGCCATCTTCTTTCATCCAAATCTATATTTTTCCCCGTCAATTACGTCATTGTCCAGTTTCTATCGGCTATTGATTGATACGGTGGATAATATTGATGGCTCGAGTCGAGAAGACAGATAGAAGGCGAAAAAAGGCAGACAGCTCAAATCGTAATTCGCGATGCGGCAGCGAAGTCTCCATTCGAACCGAAGGTTTTCTGCGAGGTTTCCAGCCACGTACCCAAAAATGAGATTTTCGATCGAGTGGAACGAAGGGGTGGATAAGGGCGATTCTGAATTAAATTTTTCGAAGCAACTGACAGACTCGTTCGGTCGGCAACTTGAAACTGTGTCTGGCAGCCAAGTTTTTCGAGTACGTCTTTTGAACAATAACGATAACTTCTTGCCGTTACCGCGACAACTATCGATTTTATCTCTCTCTCCTCTCTTTTGCAGGACGATCTCATTGACGATGAGATTCGGGAAGATGACCGCCACCATTCATCGGTGGTTCTTCTTCCGACATTGCAATTTCGCTGTATCTGGAGAACTTGTAAAATTTGTTTAATTAACCGTGAAATTGCGCGTGATCCTATGCCTTGAATTTCCTTTCGTTTATTGTTTGTTGAGAGATATATCGATTGCATTTTTCTCATTTTTCCGTTAATGTCTTTCCGATATGATGTTTCCGTTTCTTTAGCTTTATAAATTGCAAAATGTCACATATAATTTTCTCTAAAACGAGTGATTCTTTTTTTATTTCTTGTATTAAATTTTTTAAATAAAAATTTCTGATACCATATGTAATCGTGCTTTAAGAAAAATCGCGACGCGATGTCATCTCCGTCATTCGTCTCGGTATATCTTAAATTCGAACTTTTTTTTTTTATTACCGCAATTTTTCATAGAGTATAGTTCTTTCTTAGAGAAACCATCTTTCTTTTTCGCCATCTTGGCTTTTTATATCTGCAGAAGCGTCTTCTTAAGCGTTCGTGAGCTTCATTGATTTTTTTTTTAATGCGAAACTCGTTGAAAATATCTCAAACTTTTGTCTCACTAGTGCCTGTCAGTTGAGTTTCTCGTTGCGAGCACCCTTCATCGACCCAATTGTTTTACGAAAGTTCGAAATTGCAACTCGTAAGCCGTGCTTTACGCTCGCCCAAGGGCTAGAGCGGATGGCGAATGGTAAAGTATCGCTTCGTGTAACATGGCGCGTGGATCTTGGACAGCCGCGCCGTATTCCGGACACGAAAAATGACACAACAATGCTGTGAAAAAGTGAACAATGGGGGGGATTGGAAGGAAAGCGTGCGAGTGGCCCGTGGTCAAGCAGATTTGGCGGAAAGACGAAAGAAAGCGTAGGAATTGAATTTAGAAAAACGAAAACAAATTTTTATTCGCTTATGGTTCGCTCGACATTTAATTAATTCCTATTAGTCGATTAATCGCACGCGCGCGTTCTTTACCTTAAATTTCTTATTATACGAAATGAAATTGCGAAGAAGAATTAGAATGCTGAAGGATCGCATTACATTTTGTACGTGTGCTTCTGCATCCTAACCACCGCTGTTTCATGCATTGTTAACACGTAGAACGCGACGCGAAGGAAGGATGACAAAATTGAATTCCGCAGTCTTAATTCTCAAACGGAATGCGCGCGTTTTGCACGCGGAATACAGGTTTCTTCGTCCAAGTGCGTAGCGAGAGGACATTTTATGTCCTTTCTTCTTAGCCGGGCGATCGATAGGGTTCATGAATCTATCCAAACCTTTCGACGAGGAAATAAATTTTCCCGATCTCTTCTCGACATTTCTTTCCTTCTTTCTCTCCCCTCCCCCCCCCTCTCTTTCTTCTCTCCTCTCTCTTTCACTTTCTGTCCTCGATGCGTGCCGATCGTTTCCCGTCTCACGGACGTGATCTATCGTCGGATCTCCGGTGATACGATCGAGTTTGCGCATGCAGACCGCGCCGCAGGGACGAACTGGGGCATCGAGATGCGGTGGCACGTGATTATCCATGTGTTCCTGGGACTTCGTTTTTCCCCAAAAAAAAAAAAAAAAATAAAAATAAAAAAAAACGGCAGCGTACGCGTGCGCCACTGTTTGCGGTTTGAAAATTTGAGAACCTCTCTCTTTCTCCGATACAAATAAAATTTTTTTTTCTACCTATTCATGGCGTCATATCGCGACACCGCCCTTCAGATTTTTTTTCAGATCTTCCTACTTAACGAACACCGCGGAGTTTGTTCGTTACCACGAGAAATCTCATTTTCCGAGTCTAATCAGAGGTTAAATTTTACGTAATGTAATCTTGTTTTTCGTTTACGTATCTTATTTTTATAAATTAATAACGATAAAAATAATAGTAATACCGAGAAGGGGAAGGGGGGGAGGGGGTAGTGGAGGGAAAAGATAACGAAAGATTTGTTTCAAGTTGGTTTCACAAATTTCGACGTTGTCGCAAACTTGCGCCGTACAAGAAACGACTCATTACCTCTATCGCTTAAAGAGAGATATTTTACGTGTATTGTAAACTGGACGATCCTTCGGCGAGTGATATATTGGATTAATTAGAGAGAATGGTGCTATTTCGTTGCAAATAGTATAATACGTTACATTCGAAATAAACAAGTGCCAAAGTGTTGTCGGCGTCACGTCACGTAGTTCGTAGTTCGACCATCCAAAATTATCCGAGTACACGTGTTATACCGAAGTTATGCCGAATAATTAGAAATTTTGCCACGTCATAAAACTGTCTGTCGCGTTTACCAAACGCAACGTTCGTTCGCAATGCGAGCCGCGAAAACTTATATATTCGCGCCAATCGTTCATTCACGAACATTGGCTGAATTTTATTTTAATCGACCGACGCGACTTGCAGTAAGGGGAAAGGGCTCTCGGAGTTTCCTCGTTTGCGCACTGGAAACTAAACTATGATACGCGCGCGGGTTGCGTCGTGGAAGTACCGTCGCATTGTCGTCGTCGCCGACAGTCACCGCGCCAACTGTCGTATCGTTGGTTAAAGGAGACAATGCCCATGGCGAATGCTACAATGCGCGGCGACGATACAACAGCTCGCGAGGCACAAAAGCCGCGAGTGCGAATCTACTCTACTTTAAAACGCTTATGTCGATCCCCCAGCTCCCTACTTTACTCGTCCCAATATCGTTTTCTCCTGGCTGATATACACCTGCACGACTCGGTGTGCGGCAAGATATTTCCGTTTACCGTAGCCATAGGACGAGCGAAAAGATTTATAGGAAAAATCGTAACCACTGCGTAATTTTTTCGTTACTTGCGGTTACTTTGTTTTATATGAGAGCGAAAACACACTATTCAATAATCGATTACGATTATCTAATTATATTGTTAATGTCACAAAGATACGTCACGAAGATAAAGTATAAGAAAACTATAAATATTATTATTTTTGGCAACAGTTCCGGTCAGTCCTACTCGAGTTCTAATTCCAATATTATATTACAAACCAAAATTTATCAACTTTCATGAACTTTTAATACAGTCAGCATGATACTCGAAGATAAAGTGGCATGCTGATGATTTACGCTGGCTTCCAAGACTAAAAAAAAAAAAAAAAAAAAAAAAAAAACTATTTAATAACATATAGCGGGCGGAACTCTGTTTTGAAAATTGATACTAGAAGATAGAATTCTGTTGGAACTAGCGAGAACTATCGCTAGAATTTAAATAAATGGAAAATTTATTAATATGCATAGAAGATGGATGCACGAAACTATTTAACTTCAAGTTCAAAGTATAATGTGTGCCACTTTATATAACACGATAATTGTACAATTGGCAGAAGCAGTCTAACATTTCAAAGTTGCGGAACTTATCCGACTCTTTGACGACAAAATAAGTTAATAAATTAAGTAAAAAAATATTAATATATTATTGTGACACTGATTATATTTTTCTATAATGGATTTGATAGGAATACATAATTATTTGTTTGTAGAATTGGCACGTGAGTAATTTTATGTCTTTTCCTTTTTTTTAGGTAATTTCACATACATCTTCTAATATGCTAGAGATTATAATATACTAGATATTAGAACAATTTGATCCGACTTCTTAAAAAAAGAAACTCTTTAATAAGCAATTTGGCATCATATTAAAGATTTTAGATAAAAACAACATTTATATTATACCGTTAATAAATATGATTGATTTTATTAACATTTTATAATAAAGATAATTATGTGGCAAATGTGAAAAATTATGTTAACTTTGAAAAAAGAAAATTTAAAAAGAAGTCTATAATAAGTTTAGAAACATTGCGCTATCATATTATTTTTTGTTTTAACATAAAAACAGAAATAATTGATATAAATAAATAATTTATTTGTAAATATCTTGTAGAAATACTTACAAAACGCAAATGTTTAAACATAACAAGTTTGATTGGTTCTGAAATTTCTTGCATGTAAGAAATTATTGCTTGCGTAAATGCGCAATGCTGTATAATAGCAACAAGTATATATAGCAACAATTCCTTATACTTTCTTGTGTATTTGGAAATATGTCAAATTGTTATTGTAAAGACATCATGATATAGAAAATAATTTTATATTATTTAAAAAATTATATTTTTACAGATCCACAAACTCGCGAATGGCAAATACTCTCGCCGTATCTAATATTGTCAATAACTTTTGGATATTTATATTTTATTCTTTATGCTGGTCCTCACTATATGAAAAATCGACCACCGTATAAATTGAAAAACTTTATATTGCTTTATGATTTTATTCAAATTGTGATAAATGCATGGTTTGTAATGGAATTTATATCTGCTGGTGTGTTTACAAAGTACATTCCAACCTGTTCCAATTCAAATTTTGACGCTTCCGATGCGACTAAAGTATGTTTTCATTGTATAATATAATTATCAAAAAGTCATAAAATACTAAATTATAATACTTGCAAGATAGAATGTTATTAAACGATGTATTTTAATTAATTTAATCTCCGATATGCAATATTATTTTCAATGAAAAGCAGAATATATCCGTTTAAAGAAATGTAATATTGTGTTCAATAGCTCTTGAATAGATTTTAATCAACGTAAACAATTAATTATTTCGAATAAAAGATTGTACATATACTTATTTTTCGAATTTGGATCTCTCAAACATATAACAAATTATGAAGGAATGTCTGTTCGATTTTATAATTAATTCATAGTTTTCAATTTTTTATTCTTGTTCTCACTGCTAACTATGACGTCAATAAGTGATTTTTATTTTAATAATTATAATATTTTATATATTTTGTATATAAAAATTATAATTTCAGATACTAAATATGATATGGGGGATAATCCCTCTGAAACTTTTTGATTATGTTGAAACCTGTGTATTTGTGTTGAGAAAGAAACAGAATCAAGTATCTATTTTACATGTTTACCATCATGTATCCAATGTAATATTTGTGTGGTATTTTTTGAAGTACACACTTGATGAAAGAGCGGCATATATCGCATATATTAATTGTGCCGTGCATGTAATCATGTACATACATTATTTCATGACTGCATGGAATCCAAAACTCCAACGAATGATACTTTTCATTAAACCATTTATAACTAGGCTACAAATGGTAAATATTAACATAATATTTTTATAATATTTTATTAAACTGTATACATATTTTTTATATATATATATATATATACATTGTATATATAAAACTATGTATTTAATCTAAAATAATCTTTTATTATTTTGATTTTTATTATTTTGTTAAGTAATATAATGCACATTTGACTTGTTTTGTTTTTTAATATATTTTTTTTGTTTGTGACAGGTACAATTTGTTGCCATAATACTAATTATGATACAAAGTTTTGATCCAAAATGCCATATGTCAAAACAAAACAAAAAAATTGCATTTATGTTTATTATAAATGTATTAATATTTTTATATTTATTTTATGATTTTTATAAGAAAAATTACATTAAGGCATCTAAACAAAAAAACAATTAATGTCAAGAAGTAATTCTGCGATTGCGTTCCGATGATTTATTCACTGTAAAATATTTGCGTTTTGATATATGCGATAGAAAGGTTTCAGAATATCTTCATATCTAATGTCGATAACATAGATTATCATTTTCTATTTTTGTTATTGCGTCTTGCAAGGCAAGACTGCGGTAGAAAAATGGGTAGCGCCTACGAAGGACATGTGTTTTAATAGATACTGCAAATAATCACACGATTATTTTGAACAATAAAAATCTGATGATTTCATTAAGCACTTTGCAAATTAAGACATTATTACAATTCTTTATTCTTAAAACAATAGATAGGTGTATTACGATTAATTTTGCCACAGTGGATATTGTTTCATTACTGTAGTGCAAAAGCAACGTTAGTAATAACGAACGCCCTTACAATTCTACTGAATGACATTATTATCAGTGAATACAGGGAACGCTCTGTATTGTTTAAGTAATTAGCAAGTAATAATTAATTATACGCATATATGAATAATACTAAGTATGAGACAGTTATGTCATGTAATATTATTTATTTGATAGTTGTAATTTATTAATTTGTAAACATTGTTGTGTTGTAAAAAGGTTTTTAAAATAAACATATAATTATGTTAAACATAATGAATGGAATATCGAATTTAAAAAATGTAATAGGAATGATTGTCATATTATAATAATAATCTGTTAAACGGACACATAGATTATTATAGTTTAGCTTCACATATTGATACTTAAATTACATATAAGTTTAAAATAAGTAAATATTAAAAAATTTAAATCAAATGCAAGCCATTTAAAAATTATAAATTTTTGTATTTCATATATACTTAACAGTATATATTTGTATATTGCTTTATTGAACTTATCGATTTTTATTAAGATAAGTGTTTTTTTTTTATTTCTAGTGATGGCAAAAATTTTATTATTAATGAAACAACAATTGTGAATTATTTAAAATCTCCTCTTATATCTTATTTTTAAAATAAATATATATAATAAACGCAAGGAAACGTATGTATTTAAAACGTATGTAACGTATGTAATAGTTAAAATTAATTAACAATTAATAATAAATATATTTTTTGGACATGTATTTTTGTGTATATGTGTAATTTGTATTATACAATTGTGCATTTTTATAAAAAATCGCTTAGACTACAATTAAAATGATTTGTAAATACAAAGGAACATTTTAGTGCATAATCTTTAATATAGTAAATAGAAAGTAATATTATCAGCACAAACTTCGCAGTACTTGTCACAGTATGAAAATGTTATATGTTTTTAATAACAAAAAATTCTAAATCAGGTTACAGAATTTTATGCAACCATCTTTAATCGCAATTTTATATTATTGATGAAACCTTAATTTTTGTTATACGACATATTATGATTGTGGTTAATTATTTCATTTTGTTTCTAAAATATTTATTTATTTCTGATTTATAAGAAATGCGGATTGTTTTATGTTATGATATTTTAATTTTGATTACAAGTGTTGTTAGAATACAGAAGTAGAATGCAAAAAAATATAAAAATATAAAAATTGAGTTGAAGTAAGTAAAGGATTTATCCTTACATTCAGGAATGATCAGTGTTCATAGTTGTTAACAAAGTGATACTTACAAGTATTTTCTCGTAAATTCAAAATGTCACTCTCTTAAATTCACCAAGTTTGACTGATCAACTATTAAGTATATGCAACATGCTTCACGTTTGTTCAAGACAAAGATTTACCGATATAATAACAACTCTAAAACTGTCTAAGATTATGCAGATTATCAGATGTAATCAAACAGATATTGCATTTCTTATTCTTGATATAATATTAATATTGAGGCGAGGACAAGTGTGCCAGAGAGATTAAACTGACAAGTGCTGATACTTTCAAGTTCTTGTAGTCTTCATAAGTAATAGAAATAAGAGTAAAAAAATAAAAGCTTTAATTGAGGCCTCTTATTTTTTTTTTGCTTAATTTTTTTACCTTCATACCTAATGTCGATGACATTGTAGATTATCATTTCCTGTGTTATTGTGACTTGCAAGACAATTGTAATAGAAAGATGGCAACGTCTATGACATATGTTTTAATAGATGACGCAAATAATCAAGAATATACGAAGTTAGAACATTGCCACAATTTTTTTATTTATTCTTGAATCAATAAATAAGTTATATTACCATAAACTTGGCCATAGTACCGCAGGTATCATTTCATTATTGTAGTGCAAAAACAGCGTTAATAATAACAAACGCTCTTGCAACTTTATTAAATGATATTATCATCAGTACTTACAGTCAATACAGAGAATGCACTTCTGTACTGTTTAAGTAATTAAGCCAAACAGTAATTAATTACACAATACACACGCATATGTGATTAATGTGGGATATAATATGATAATTTTGTCATGTAATATTATTTATTTGATAGTTATAATTTATTAATTTGTTGTAAATATTATTGTGTTACAAATAGATTTTTAAAACAAATATGTAACTATGTCAAAATATTAAAAATAGAATATTAAAAAGTGTAAGAAAAATGACTGTTATATAATAATAGTCTGTTTAATAGACACATAGATCATTAGATCAGTATACTATAAAGT